GAGTATTGGATCTAACGAATTTTAGAAAGGCGCCGGTTATTAAATCTTTTTTATACTCCAATTGTACAAGTTGTGTTACAAGTTGACTGAATCTACACTTGAAATCTGTAAATTGTGTGCAAGTTCTAAATATTCTAAGTATTTCTGTGTACATAATTGCTATCTTTTGTTTGTAACTGATATGTGAACTACCATGACTGAATTTATTTACGTTAAAATCAAAACTGTCAGTTTTGTTGTACTGTTTAGTGACTATCTCATTATTAATAATCCTAATATTGAGATCTAGGAAATTGCATTCATGTGTGCTTATCTGCGTGGTTTTAAGGTCTAGGATGTGATTGTATGTGTCATGTAGCATCTCTAAAACTGTTTCAGTACTATAGTTGTGTCTAATGAGGATATCATCCATATACCTAAAGGGTTTGAATATGTTTCCATCTGTGTACTTATTCAAAGCGTAACTGTATTCCAGATAGGAAAGTGTTAAATCTGCAATTATTGAGCTGGCATTACCGCCTTGGGGTACTCCTTTGGTTTGAATGAATAACCTGTTACCAAGTTTGCAGTAACTATCATTAAGTAGTAATCTAATAGGTACAAGAGGTCTTGTATTCTGTAATTTCTGGCGTTTGTTTCCTTGAGAATATTGGAGTAATATGTTCTGTATCCTTTGATAAATAAGTACTCACAATTTGCATTACGAAAGCATATCTTTAGGATTTCTCTAATACTAGTAATGATGGTCTCATGTGATATGTTAGTGAACATGTCGGTAAAATCTCCGGAAAGTAATTTCAAATTGTTGCCTTGAATATTTGTAAGATTGTGTGATATATTTATGTCTTGTATGGACCAATATGTTTGTAAACAATTTTTTGTCTTAATACACTGTAGGCGTAATTTTTGAAATGGTTGCGTATGTTTGTTAGGAGTTTCAACAGTTCGAGGGCAATTGGTTTGACACTACTGCTAGCTGCTCCCGTAATAAATCTGAACTTAATGGGGTTCTTGTGAAGTTTAGGGAGGCAATAAATTCTGGGGATGTCGCTTTGGGTAAAGGGTTTTAGTTTAAGAACTTTTACTATGCCCTTATGTTGATTCAATATTGCTCTAATATCAATTTCGTCTCTAGCCTGGTATATAGCGCTGTTTTGTACGTTATCGGTTAAGCCCATTTCATTTTTTAAAATGTTAATGTATAGGTTTTTGCAGACTATACCATAATTTGAACTGGCTTTATCTAATGGGCATAGAATAAAAATTTTTTGAATGTGCTTTAGTTCTTTATTATTCAATTTTTCAGTTATATTTTTGATAATTGTATGTAAGTGTTTATTTTGTAAACGAGATAGACCATTGTTATAAAGGTATCTTATCATATTTGCTTCTGCAGACTGCAGTTGTTAAATGTAATTTCATTTTTAGTTTGCTTGTCAAACTGATGAGTTCTTTCCAAATTTCCCGAATAGTGGAGGTGGAAAGGGGATTTTGTATTCTATATTTTGTTCCTTTTTGTAACAGTGAATGTAGTGAGAATTGTTTGAAGATGTCAATATTACCTGTAATTACATGACCATAATCTATGTTTATGTAGCTTTCGAATTCCGCACATATACACGAGTTATTATCATCCTCATAATTTGAGGAATGAGTTATAATTGAAAATTCTTTTGGTTTATAACCCATATAAGTAACTTTCAAAAATTTCGAAACCCGTTCTCGGGGGGGGCGCCCCCCCCCCTCGGTACGCCACTGGTATATAGTCAGATACACTTTTATTAGTGATGAATTTGTTGATGTTTAAAATATCTAAACTCTTACTATAATATGGGAATTTTACATGTATGTAATTCTTTTTTACTTTATCTTTTTCAGGTTTTTCATTTCGAAATATATAAAAACAGAGTATGCTCATCAAGACAATTTTGTCGTTTTGATTAAGTTGTAGTTGTTCCGGATGATAGGTCATGATGTTTACAAGTGTATCTATGTACCGAGTATTTTTGGGTTTTAGAAATCTAAAAACATCATAGTATGATATGTGCTGTGAAAATAAACCAGTTACTTCATCTACTAAAGTGGAAATGGACTGTGCTACCGGTTTATTTTTGGTCTCTGTTCTACTTCTATCTTTTCGTATTTTAATGACATTTAGATTGAAGAAAAAAGTTCGCCTTACGGATAAGTCCGCCTGTTCTATGAGAGTTTAGATGCTATCTTTGAAGAGATGATTGCTTCCAGTTTTACAAAGGCTTGGGATGAGTGATGACGAGATGTGCGAGAGTATGAGCTTGGAGGTTTTGGTAATGACGATGATGCTATGAGCGCTTGTGGTCAAGTTGTTGCTATGAATGTTTTTGGTGATGAGTCCTGTTCATTTCCTACTTTCAATTTTAGGCTAAAATGGCAGTACTTTCGCGCGTTCTCCTGCTTCTCTTCTGGAGAAACCGTCTGTGTAAACGGACTTATCTATAGAGATTCATCTGCAGATTTTTTGGTAGCGCGGCATGAATTCATTTTTCTTTGACAAAAGAGGAACTTTGTGTCAGATCTTACAGCAAATTTATCGCCTTGGCCTCTTCTAGTTCCCATTCTCATTGAAAGTGGGAAGTTTGGTATAAGCTCTGACAAGAGATACCGTGTAATTGGTTAGATTTGTCATGTGTGAGGTGTTGCACCTGGAACGGTATCTATCAAACTCGAATTCTAGTAAATGCTCCCGTACAGGTGATCCAGTCATACGCCAATGTCCATGATGCGCGGTAGGTGCCTGACCTGCAAGAGCCCTGTTAGGCAGGATCGGGTAGTCCTGCAACTCCTGGTCCTTCACCGGATCTTGTTTGACTATCAATTGTGCGAATTAGTTCTGCTTGATTAGGTGGCCAAAAGTACCAGTAAATTGAGCGAGTCATTCATAAGTCAACCAGTATGATTCGATAATTGTTATGTTGCAAGAAATTTGTCTAATACAAAATTTGACTTGATTTAATTTCAAGAATTACAAGGGATTCAAAGCCGGACTGGAGAGATCGGGCACTGGAGCTCTTGTGAACTTCAGACTTTTTTTGATCTCACCACTGTCTTCCATGCGCAAGCAACGCATTCCTAGCGCTGTGGGCGAGCAGATTTCGCCCGAGGTCTGGACCGATCTCGAATGGGACAGAGTGTACACAATAAAAAGTACGCATACTTTGTTTTGAAATCATGTATGTACGCAATGTCTGTATCAGTGTGCACTCTTTTTCCCATTAACTCAACTCGCCATGATAGAGTCCCTAGATTGTAGGATGTGATCATTCATTTGGTTGATAAAAATAGTATAAATTATCAAAGCTGAGTCACCATTTTACTATGTTGTCAAATAAGGAACCGCTTGTTACCGTAATGTGCGATGAATAAACTACACAGCTCAAGTTGTAACATGGAACTATTGTAAGCAGCCACGGATCTAGTTTTGATGATGTGAAACCGAGATCGTTTAGCAAGAAAATTTCAATCATATTCGAAATCGCTGACTGACCAACTTTTATAGCAGTGATAATGAAGCAGTTTAAATAATGTTATCACCTCAAAAAACTGATGTTTTCTCACGGAATGGCATACTTTACCGTTTAAGTCAAGCGAAAGTTGAAGTGATTTTGTGAACAACAGCAGCCTAGTAATTTAACCGACTGAACTGGTATTTGCGTGACTCTTGTATTAGGTTGTATTTGGTTAAAAATAATGGCCTTTTGCGCGTTCTCTTGTGACGTGCTATATCTTTTTGTAAAATCTACATTTCAGAATGTGATGCACATTCTTCTATACTCGTATCACAAACGGATAGAAAGATCTGGATAGGAAAAAGAAACTATTCTTTAAGACCCTTTTGACATGTCCTAACTCCTTTGAATATCTGTTATTCAAATGATAAGTCGACTTTCTTACAGCCACAAGCCAGTAGGAAAAAAGACGATGAAAGGGGCTTGGGCAAAGAAGGTTTGCGAAAACAAAAAAATTGGGTTCTAAAACTGTCACTTTCTTCAACATTTTTCCAGCAAGCCTCATAGTCTCAAATTAAAAAAATTTTTTCTGGGTACCGAACAGCTAAAAGATTTTGCAAAAAGTGTTGACAGAATGCCCTACCTTTACGCTTAAATGAGGAAAACTCTGGCGATCACCTTCTTCAAAAAATTTGCGGGTCATAGAATAACCGCAACGGCTACCCATGTTGAGGCGCTGGTATATCAGTCTATATAATTCCAAAGAAAGGTAAAAGCGCGTCATGTAGACAGTTTCTTTTGCACACAGCAGCCGAATTTTTAAAAAAGGGCAGTTCACTCGCGCTTGAATTTTGGCGAGAAAAGTGAATGCAATGAAATTCTGATTTTGAATGCGGTTGTTCGGAAGCTCTGTAACTTCTAACAAATAAGGAAGAAGCCCGCCTGAGCCATCTTTAGATAACATGAAAAGAGCTTTTCAATGGTTTGCTTCGTCTGTTTCAAAGGAGAGATTTTAATGTCCTGAAGAAAGGTTTGGAAAGTCGGCCATTTTTTGCATTAACCTAATATAAAGCTGTTTTTAGGAAAACGTTAAAACTCTGTAATATATGCATCTCCTGGCTCATAATTGTGAACTTTTCCTTGAAAAAGCTAACAGAAATATCCCTCAAAAGAAGACTGTGATTACTGTCTAGACTAACCGCATAACATCCGCTCGAGAAGCGAGTATACAACTTGCGATACTTGCTGCTGATACTTTATAGTAATTTGCACTGTAAACTTCTAACAACAGCATGGAGCTTAAGATCATTTCATGCATAAAGATTCTTTTATACCGCAATGTATTTCCCAAAGGAATGCTGCGCTTCTTTGTCATCAAGCGATATGGTGATAAAAATTTCGGGACAAATATTAGACTTTAGTAATCAGTTGTTTCCTGCAAATTCTTGCCAATTTCTCCTTGTACCTTACAAAGATTCGTTATCTGCTAATGTAAGAAGGTTTATCTCTGCACATTTAAGGTACGGTTATATTGCACAAGCCGCATGGTTCTCCGCACCATTGTTCTATGAATTCAGTTGGATAGAAAGCATTTGTACAGAAACCGTTTTTCTGCCATGATGAACAGCTGGAAGCAGAAGTCGTAAGACTCACTTAAGACTTGCAGAAAAATAAGCACTCACTATTTGTTATTGCCACATGCAACTTTAAAATACCCAGACTGAGGATTTGCTGAAAAGACACAATTAGGCCAGTAATATTAGAGTAAGCATTACATACCATTTTCTGCACGTGCACATTGAAAAAGGCACGTTGAGACGATTACAAAAACTGTGTAGGAAAAGATGTGTGCCATTAGCAGATATCTCACAGTATCGCAACACAAACACGTAAATGCATCTCGTCGATCGCAGTTTTATATCTCTAGAGCAGACAACGACTGAAAGAACTACAACCAATTGAACAAACAAAATCGTACATATTGCATTTATTGCGGCTGTATTTGCTTATTTCGAATGATTATTTGAACTAGGCTTTCAAAGGCACCGTCCACCCAAATTGGGGTTGGTGAGATTATGATACCTAGCAGATGCGGGGCTCCCAACTGTATGATTGCCCAACTCGCGCTGCCTGAAGTTGCTTCCGAACCGAGAAAATTGCTTCGGAAATCGCTTCAGGCCGCGTTCGCGACGCTGGCTCCTCCCCTTTTGGAGTGGGCGTGACGTTCGTCCCGCCCATCCGTGCGCGCTCAGCCAATCACCGTACCGAAGAAATTGCTCTGCGGGTTCTAAAACGGGGGTTTTTCGTGGTTTTCGCGGATTTTCAACTTGATATTCGGAATCAGGGATATGAGAAGGCTCTGGAACGGCAAAAATATGGAGGTCGAAATTTTGGGAGGGCGGTGCCTTCAAAATGACACGCTACATGGGCTGGGAATCAGTTCCAGCGAAGTGCGTTTGTGGCCGAAGTCACCCTGGTGTGCTCTCAAGTTGCCCTATTTTCAGGTGTATAAGCCACCCTTTTCGCTCTAAAGGCGAACACGCCAAAAGACTGACTGTCATCATGGAGCGCGTTAAGCGAGAGTAGCAAGCGATAAGGCGACCGCTTCGCGAGATATATGCGCGGTGGCACGCCTGGGTCTGCTCGCGTTTAGAGCAAAAAGGTTGGGGCTTATACACCTGAAAATAGAGTAAATGCCTTGACTGCAACAGCTTGCAATAACTCCATCTCATGCATAAGTTGAAAATGCAAATCTTCACTTTTGATGGCAGATTTCTTGAACTTTGAACTGTGCAGTTATAGGAGCATTTTTAACCAAATAGCCATGTAACCCACGCAAGTACTGCCAAAATGTAGTAAAGTCACACTAACCGAGTGAGATATGCTATTTTGAGACAAAAATCGCTTCTGTACTGTTTTAAGCTGACAAACAGGATTTGAATGACAAATATATAGTCCTTCTCAGCCGGCAAGCAAATTGGAGTTTTGACAGGAGTAGGCAGAGTGCAGTAGAGCGGAGCTCAGTACAAACTCAGCATGTCTGTGGTTTTTCGCCGTTGTAGGCTATTTTTTGTGCATTGACAATGTCCGTAATTAGGACTGGTGGTTTATTGTTGAGAGATGTTATATACTTTTAGCCTCGTTTCTCCAACTTTTTTTGGAAATAGGCTTATAGAAACGATGTTGATGGGGAAGTTGCGCCATAAAATTCATCTACCAACACTTCAGCACTTCCTACTAACAAGGGAAGGAAGGTGGGTCGAAGTGGCCTTTCAGAATGAGGTGGGTATCATCTTGTAGGGCTTCGAACGCTGATTTCAAATCTGCCTTCCCTATCTGCGGCGCGATTTTGGGCGAGGAGTTATGAGCGTTTGTGGGGGGCGGAAGTTGATACAAGTACAATCAAGGAGAGGTCACAGGTGTGTGCTGTCTAGTGTAGTGGTTAGTATGGTGGTCTTGCAGTCAGAGGGTCCCAGGTTCGAATCTCCTGTTGTGGTTTTTCCTTTGCTGGTCCACAAAAGATTTGCATGAGTACGCGTATCGTCTGTACATCACCTCTTCCTTCTTTTGTCTGCAAATCTCTTCAAAAAGGTCTTAATACTCTATGTTTTCAAACTCTATGTGCAGTGATGAAAGGATAGGACAAAATGTGCAAAACATAGGCGTTTTTCACAATGAGAACAACGAATGAAGGCTACTTCTGAACAATCCGAGTGGTCACAGTCTCCTATCAACTGGAATGGAAGCAGTACTGTCCAGGCGTTTCAAAATCTCCCGGATGTGCATCAAGGTAGCCGCTGGCATACCAGGAATAAGTTGAACATTGTCGATGTTGATAACATTGTGACCTCTTACGTTCACCCGGGTATTACGTGACAAATTGATTCTTTTGACAGTTCTACCTCCATCAAATCACTTGCAAAGACCTTCAAAGAGGGCAGTTGTTGCCTCGAGATTCTGATAAAAGAAACAGGGGGTGCTGTATGGACGCTGTGCCCCAGCTCATATAAATTTTTGTAGACCAGCAAAACGAAAACGACAACAGGAGATTCGAACATGGGAGCCTCTGCCTGGAAGACCACCACACTGCCACTACACCATACGGCACACAGTGGTGTGTGTCCTTGATTGTACTTGTATCGACTTCCGCCCCCTAAAAACCCTCATAACTCTTCGCCCAAAAACGCGCCGCAGATAAGGAAGGCAGATTTGAAATCAGCGTTCGAAGCCCTACAAGATGATACCCACCTCATTCTGAAAGGCCACTTCGACCCACCTTCCTTCCCTTGTAAGCAAAAAAGACTCACGACCAAAAAAGCTAATCTCAATCGCTACTTAACAGAGTGAAGAAAACGAGCTTGTACAGATATCGCCTCAAGCAATGAAATGGTCAAATCTCCATTTACGAACACCTTCAACACACATAGCGTACAAAGTCGAAAAAAAGAGAAAAAGCTCATGTAAGCTTGAATTGAGGACTGGGGGTGCTATTCTCTATCGCAACCAATTCAAACTCAACTTTGCTTGTCGGGATCTAGTGGGGTGAGGACAACTACATAACCGTCGTAGAAATGCATCATTTTATGCAATGCTAGACAGCATTACGCTTCCTAACTTCATCAATAGTACCAGTGCTAAGGCTGTTGATGTGAAGAGCCAGGAATGGCCATTGAAAGAAGAAAGGTCTCTTGGGGAGCCTCATTCCGACAGCCCTTCTGTATGGCCCCCGCCAGAGTGCCGAAGCCAGCCTACGCCGGCGCCGAGCCAGCGTTTCGATCGATACACGTGTATTTCGTTGGGGCGGGACCCTGGCTGAGAACTAGGTCAGCTAGCCCCGCCCCAACGAAGTACACGTGTATTGATCGAAACGCTGGCTCGGCGCCGGCGTAGCGCTGGCGTGGCTTCGGCACTCTGGCGGGGGCCTATGGGCAGAGGTGCGATGGGGGGGGAGCCGGGCCCACCGAAAGTGAAGGTGGTCCCAGCTGCCACTGGCCGTCCAAAAGTGAAGGTGGTAGTGTCGGACACTCACCTCCCAAAAACGTCGGGAGAGAGGTGCGGGGGGGGGGGGGGGAAGAACAGACGAACAGAGCTATCCTTCTAAGTCGAACTGTGACCCAACGGCCCTCTTTATGGCCACAGATACGATGAATATTAAAAATGTTTACAAATTTCGTTTATAAAAATTCAAAATAGACGTGTTTAGTAAATGACGTATTTGGAAGTAAAAGTTTGTCGGACTGTACGGACTTTATTAAGTAAATTTTGTCATAACATACTGCGAAGAAAGTAGGTTGACCTAGGCAGTAACGGCCGAGAACCAGAATTTTGAATAATTAGATAGTGAAAAATCATGCGAATTTTCCATTGTTATAAATCTGTTGTTTGAAGATGTCAGCAGTTGCGACTTTATAGGTTTTGAGGAGTAAGCGCTGCCTTATCAGAGAGTGAAAAAATCGAGTCGATTTGAGAGATAGTCTTTGAAAACAGAATTCTAAAAATTTACGCCATTTTTGCGTGTTTTTTGATGACAGTTAAACTCATCTAAATCTTGGAAGTGAAAGTGTGTGATGTTGCGACTTCATAGGTTTGGTAGAGTAAAGTTTGCCTTATCTGAATATATTAGGTTGAACCGAAAGTTCGTTCGCACCATTTTCAAAAAATCATAACTTCTTTCCGTCACGACGATTTTGCGCAATTTAAGTTTTATTAGAAAGCGTAAAGCGTGTAGTTTCCAATAGTCCCCTGGCGACTTTCCAGCATGTTCAGGTTGCAGAGATAAAAATGAAAGAACGAAAACATCCGAAATTCGGAATTTTTGAGAAACAATTCCAAAAATCTAGAAACTGCGCGATAAAATCCAGAAAAGCCATCATCCTAATTTTTCTTATATTTGATTACTAACTGAGTTAACTTTATGCTGATCGAGCTCTTCTTTCAAAAGTTATGATTTTTTGAAAAAAATCCCGAAAAATCACTTTCCTAAGAATTCCTAAGAAATTGATTTTTCGGCATTTTTTTTCAAAAAATCATAACTTTTGAAAGAAGAGCTCGATCAGCACAAACTTAACTCAGTTAGTAATCAAATATAAGAAAAATTAGGATAATGGCTTTTCTGGATTTTATCGCGCAGTTTCTAGATTTTTGGAATTGTTTCTCAAAAATTCCGAATTTCGGATGTTTTCGTTCTTTCATTTTTATCTCTGCAATCTGAACATGCTGGAGCTATTGGAAACTACACGCTTTACGCTTTCTAATAAAACTTAAGTTGCGCAAAATCGTCGTGACGGAAAGAAGTTATGATTTTTTGAAAATGGTGCGAACGAACTTTCGGTTCAACCTAATATCTTAGCCGTACCGATTCACTGAAACAGTGCCGAGATCCAGAGTCTTGAAAAAGCAGGTAAAAAAGCGCTTTCAAAATTTCAACAGCTCATATGTCTTCAGAGCTGGATGAATCATGTTGCAACTTCATAGGTTAGATTCTCCTCATCAAGAGCTTTCAGTTGATATAAAATATGTGGGGTTTAGAGCCTCGTACGAATTATGCCCGTGGGGGGAGCCTTTTCATACCAAAGTCTCCCCCTAGCCCACTTTAATGTATCGGAGAAATTCAAAAAGCGCTTTTTTACCTGCTTCTTCAAGACTCTGGATCTCGGCACTGTTTCAGTTAATCGGTACGGCTAAGATATATTCAGATAAGGCAAACCTTACTCTACAAAACCTATGAAGTCGCAACATCACACACTTTCACTTCCCAGATTTAGATGAGTTTAACTGTCATCAAAAAACACGCAAAAATGGCGTAAATTTTAGAATTCTGTTTTCAACGACTATCTCTCAAATCCACTCGACTCT